GGCATGTGTTGGCTGCTTCCTCGTGTCGCAAAGGCCGTGATCCTGGAGCTGGCACCCTCCGCGAGCTCCTAGCTGTCCTAGCTGGTGGCTGCCAGCTTTCCCCGTGACCGGCAAGGGGCATATTGATATGAGTCACATCCACACTTCAAAAAAGCAGTTGGCATCAGCTTCACGCCTGCGGTCAGAGACTGCGAATGAAAGCAATAGCAGGCAGCCACAGAAAGGCAAGTCCCTGTCAACTGTGTGCTCGAGCCTTGTCTGTGTGCACAGTGCCCGACAGAGATAGCTGTGCTGCTGGCGATTTCGGCTTCGGGGCAGCAGCCTTGGTCCATGCGCCGCCTACGCCGCATACTCTGGGCGGACAGGGCACACATGGCAGAACGCGAAGCGCCAACACTATCAACGAGAGTATGGTCGGCGGAGTCGCGGTGCTCAACTGACAAGACTTTCAGAGTTGAGGCCTGAACATGGCAAGCTCGTGCACTGCACTGGCAGAGCTCTGCACGCGTCGCGCGTGCGGAGGCCCGTGCCGGCCCACAGGCCCGGCAGGCCCGGCGGCCCACGCATGGCACGGCTGGCACGGCTCTTTGCAGACGCAAAGAACTGCAGGCCATGTGGACTTGCTGCCAGGGCTGCCATGCCTCACGCTGCACGTGCAGAGACTGTGCATCGCTACACGCATTAAGGGCTCGTCAAGCGCCGGCAGTTTCAATGACCTTGAGGTACTCTCGTGGTCTGGAGGCATGAAAGGCAAGCTGCAACAGTCCGGCCAGGCTCAGACTCAGGCCCACCGCCCGGTTCACCTGTGCCCCATGCAGCGGGACACTTACTGCAAAGCACTCTACGTGATTGGAGCGAGCCGCGTGATTGAGCTTGACTGAAGGCAGACCTCTGTACATCTTTCACGCACAGTCTAGCGAAGTCCTTTGATTTCAGCTCACAAGCCCAGAATCTACAGCGGCATGAAAACACATACAAGCATGGATACATGTCTGATCCCTTCTGAACGGCAGCCAACCCGCAGCTCTCCATGAAGACAGAAGCCAAGCGAACGCCTATCCGAGGACCAATTCGACCTATCCTGTTTGGCAATGCATCCCCACAAACTTCGAATCAAGCGCCGGCCGTGTCACAGTCTCTATTGGATATTTTGAAGCCAGCAGGGCAGGGAATTTGACATTCTCGATTGCCAGTTTGAGGGAGGAAGCATTTTGATGTGCGTGTCTGTAATCCTTTGTCCGCCTTCGCTTTACTGACACAGTGGAGACCAGATGACTACATCGACGTATGCTAGCAAAACTGGAACGAGAAAAGGGTCCCGTTCGAAGCCGTCGAATGACTTTCGATGCTATATCCCAGCTGGCGGACATTGCGCTGTATCAAGGCGCAGCATCACCACTGCACCGCCATGCACGTCCTCCGTCTGTGAAGAATGCGAGGAAGCGCCAAGGCCCCTCATTTGCATGGCCATTTCGGACTCGAACGCCGGCTCTTTCTCACGCCGCGGCAAGACGACTGCTGATGACATCCATCAAGTCCCTTCCGCTGCACTTGCCGGCCTTCAAGAACGGAAATGTGCGGAAGAAGGAACGGCAGTCACAGGCGGTTGCCCGGTGCCGTGGCAGCTGCCCTTGCCGAGCGGTCACGTCGACAGGGATTCCTAGTGAGGTGCAGCCAAATTGTTGGACGGCAACTGGCACGTTGGATGGGAACCATCATCTGCGAGACATGGGTGCCGGAGCTCGACTTGCAGGGACCATCAGGATCTCTGCGTCCAGCTCAAGAGCTACGCTGTCTCTGTCTTGGCTTAAGATCCAGTTTCCCTGCACATCGCGGCAATACGATGATATTTGATGCATGAAGGCTGCCCGGAACGAGCAACGAATCGCGGAAAGAGACTGGCCTTGCTCAAAGAAGGCCTGAACAACAAAAAAAGACCCCCAAGCTGCATCATGCTAGGCCGCTAGGCCGGCACGGGGAGCGCAAGAGAAGCGAAGAAGGCAAATGCAGAATTGCACCATCAGTACCAGGATCATCTCGGCGGGTTCAGGTTGGATGCCAGACTGAGAGAGACGTGTGCACACCGGCCAATTTCACCAACGTCCTCTATCCAGCTATGAAGCACTCACCACTCAGCACGTGCTTTGCAGCCAGGAATGGGCGTGATGCGGCTCACACTCTCGGAGTCTTGCAGTTGGACAAACATGCATACATGCCTTGTTTACTCGATTTCCTTGTCGCACCGCAGTGCTCCTCTATAGCCAGAACAGGCTTGGCTTCAAGTCCGCACACAGAGCGTAACCTTCCTGCCTCAATTCACGGATCATCCTTTGACGCTTTGACGGGAACACAGATAGCAGACGCCTCTGACTTCATGCCCATGCTCCGGGACTGCGACAGGTCAGGGGGCTGCAGGCGGTCACTGAAAAGGTGCAGACCTGTCAGCGGAGTGTTCGAACTTTGCGCACGGTGCTCCTCTTCGCTGCGCCCAGCACGGGCAGCTGCGCTGCGGCATGTGTTGGCTGCTTCCTCGTGTCGCAAAGGCCGTGATCCTGGAGCTGGCACCCTCCGCGAGCTCCTAGCTGTCCTAGCTGGTGGCTACTGCCAGCTTTTCCACGCGATGGGCGATGGGCATCAACTTTCTTGCGAAGAAGGCGGACATTGGCACCCTCCGCAAGCTCTTGGGCGGGTGCGTCACCGAGTGGCTGCCATAGCCGCACCGTTCCGGCACGAGGGGCACAAGGCCAGGGCTGATACGCAAGCGTATGGCAAAGCCTCCTTCCGTTTCGCGCACGGCTGCACCGCGGGCCAAACAGCGACCGACGTCAGAGCGAGCTGTCTGCAGCAAAGCTGGCAACTGTCAAGTGCTGTGGGCGGAAGGCGAAACGAGGTGAGCCCGCAAGGAAAAAGCGAAAGATGCTTGTCTTTGCTCTACGCCCTCTTCGCCCTCTGCGTCTTCGCATCCCAGCACGGTCCAGACTCCTGGGTGCAGCCAGCGCCACTCGGCCGGCTTCTCAAATTATCTGCTCAGAAGCGAAACTGCAAGATGCGAGCAATGCGAGCATCCGCAGGGGAGGCACGTTCCTGCCAAGTCGCAATCGCACTGCAAACTATCGCACCGCAAAGCTTCGATGAACCTGTCTGGCAGAATCTTGCTCACTGGAAAGTTTAAATTTGCTAACAGGCTAACTTGCTCCGGCAGATAACACGGGGTATGGGTTTACGTTTTGTCTTATGTCTGCCTGTGACGCATCGCAACCTGTTGAGAGCGAGTTGCTCAAATTTTGGTCGAATCAAAACATTGCGGGAGGGCTCAGCCATGGAAGAGCTCCGCGAGCACAGAACAAGAGAAGGATGGACACATCATGGCAGTACTCGGAAATGCAGACTTGCTCAATGGGTCAAATCACGAGGTTTGCGTAATGCTGCGACGCGTTATGCTTTAGAGTGAATGCCAGAGCCCATGGAAAGCGATGGAGGATCGAGAACTTCAGATAATCCTGCAAACGTCAGGCTCCGTGACAATCTGAGATGGTCGGGCATCAACACGGCGAGAATCAACCGCTGGCTAACCGGGCAATCCTCCTGCAAGGAGGTGGAGCGGGTTCTCAGCAAAGGCTTAGAAGACATCTTACAAGGTCTCTCGCAGTCGCGGCGGTCAAGGCCCTGGATCCCCTGGACAGGCTTGAGGACCGCGAGGAGCGAGCCTCTTCGGCCGGTCGGACTCTCTGCTTTGCTTGCTTTGCCTGCTTTTTTGCCGCCTGCTAAACCTGCTCTTTCAACGAATCTCAACCCCGTTTCAGCAGGGACAAGGACATTCCCTTCTTTACACGATGCGGCAAGGCGGGTCATGACGGCTGTGCTTAAGTTGTGCTGTGAGGCACTGAGGCTGCTGCGCGCACTGCCGTGCGCACGGCTGGCTGCTTACGCTGCGTCCAGGAGGACCTCGGCAACTGCCACCGGCCCCACCGGCATCGTCAGCACGAAATCAGAGTGCGGAGCTGGCAGGCGCTCACTGACACCAACGTATTCTTGCACCTACACTGTATCGACACAAGGGTTGCCAGAAACCAACAACACAACCGCGCTCGGGGCGCAGTGGCGCACACAGGCTGTATTGACACAAAGCTTGATGGAAAGCAGAGGAGACAGTAAACGTCACTCGGCCATAGGAGACGGGCAAGGAAGCACACATGGCCTTGTCAAGTGCGAGTAAAGCGGCCAAGCGGCGCAGGATGCAGCATCTGCACGAATCTCGACGCACGCAACGCTCGACACACTGCTGTGTCGCCGTGCTTGCGAGTCAAGGACCTAGAAAGTCCCAGGATGCAGACGAGGCGCTTTCAGACGAGGCCTAGATTCCGAGATCTTGAGTTCGAAGGCTCTGCGGAGACTCGAAGAAGGAAGCAGCGGCCGCCTGTCCTTAGGAAAGCTCAGGCGTGCGTGACATGAGTGTCACAAGAGCATTCTCCTCACAAGAGATCAGAGCTGCAAGCCACTGTCTGAGTTTGGAGGCCATCGCTGATGCCTTGCCTTCAGATCAGCCCGTTTTCAGCCCAGCCCGTCAGAGATACAGGCACGGGACAGTCTGGACGCTCAATGGTGCACAGAATCCCTGAGCGACTCCCTCCGTGAACTGATCCGCTATGTGCTTCCTGCTGCGTTGATCATACGTCTCAGCGCAACCACGTGGGAAGGAAACGCCTAACACAAACAGAGAACTCACTGACCTGCCAAACTCTGCATCACGGGTGCAGGGGACAGCAGACGCCGAAGTCTCGATGCAGGCGAGTCCGAGTGCATCAAGGCATGTGAATGAAAGTAAGCTATAATCGCATGAGCTCATCGGTGAAACCTGTGCGCTATGGCCACTGTGATGTCGCCGAGCGTCCAAACTGGTAGAGAGACACGAGCACAGCCTGCATTGCGAGGTGCTGCAGGCTATCCTGCTTCGTTGTCCTTCTGGGAGCAAGACGACGCCGCCGCCAGACGCCGCGGGGCTATCCGGAAGTGGCCACAAGCCGCAGGGTGGTCACCAAGCGGAAAGGAGACTTGAGGAAGCTTCCACACGCGCTCCCGACTGGTGCTATGGCCTGTGCCCTCCAGGCATAGCCCCAGCTGGGTATTGAAGTCGGCTTCGGGCAACACCAAACGGCAAAGAAGATGCTCAGCAGCGCCAAGCTGGGCATGGGAGCTGAAGTCGCAGAGGTCAGGCCAGACAGTGGCTTGAAGCCGTTGCGACGAGCATTAAAAGCCGCGGGCGGGCCGCCTTGCCAAATCGAGACCGCGGCGAGCGGCGGGCCGTCGTGCTTTACTGCCTCAAGTGAAGAAACAACGGAGGTACCGCAAGCAGAGGTCAGCCACCAACAAGCACTCATCCAGCTGGCCGGACAGCTCGGAAAGCATCCGACACTGTCGAACTGCTAGATGTCAAACTCAGGGTCTTGGAGAAGCGACTTGTAGCGAAGAAGATGCTGATTGCTATTGCAAGCAAGGGTGAAGATGCCAGGGCATTTGGAGCTGACACTTGGATAGCCAGGCATGTGCATGGCACAGATGCCCCCAGGAAGCTCTGCCAGAACTTTCGCATGGGACCTTGAGAATCCGAGACACGCTCTGCGAAGTGGCATGTCGCAGCTGAGCTACACATCACAACCCGTATGACGGGTCTCCATGAGCCCACACCGCCCGAAGGCCAAAGCTTCTGGGCTAAAACTTCCATGCGCAGCAGATGTCCGCAAAATCAGATCTCACTCAGGAGGCTTAGCCCTCCCCCGTTGCAATCATTTCCTAGGGAACCCCCTGACAAGATGGCAATCATTTTACATCCAACGCTCTACATTGGAACACGACCCACGTGACCTTTTGCAATCATTTTAGGGGGTGGGACATGATCGCGGCATTCTGCAATCGTTCAGCACCCTACCCCGCTTGCAATCATTTCCTGGGAGGTAGCGATGCTCTCGGCAGACGGGCTGCCATCAGCTACTCACTCAGTTCTCGCCTTCAACGCCCAACCACATCGCTGCATCTGACAGCTTGTGCTTCTGGCCAGCATACAACTGTTACAACAGCATGCTCACACGCACTGATATTTAAACGAGGTCCGCCCGCAGCTAGGCACAGGGGGTTAAATGTAGCGACTTCGCTTCAGCATGGGCAGCCCATAGCTGCACAGAGGAGGTGATTTGGGCTGGCGTACCCGACTTGACGCTCCGCAAGCTACGATGTCCGAGCACAAATGCTTATCCGGACTTTGCTTCACCATGGGCAGCCAGCGAGCTGCAAAGAGAAAGTGGCTTGAGATGGGCGAAACGACTGGACGCTACGCCAGCAGCCTTGGCGACAAGGCACGGGGCACGCCGGACACTGCTCCGAGCGCCTGTCGAGACTGATGTCTGCACGCGTCTGACATCCAAGCAGATGCTCAGCAGCAATGTTGAAAAGCCCGCACTCAGTCCGACAAATGACAAGGTGCGTCCGTAGGCCAGGATCGGCGGAGGCGCGGTTGCTAAGCGAACCCACACTCGTCAGTGCGAACTGCAGGCGCGCGAGCTTTGATGGTGAAGCGCAACTCTCGCCGGGCTGCTGTCAACTGCCGGTCTCTACAGTAACACGCAAGTGATCTGCGCACACTCACAGCGCGAACAGTCAAAACACACAACGTCCTTGAGACGTGCTGCATAGGCAGCCAAGTTGACATTACGAGATCGACGGCTACAGCTTGGGACAAGCGAGTGCGTCTGTGCAGAAGCCTTCTCTCACATGAGGCTAACATGAGGGAGAATGCCCTCATCGCATAAGCCTACATGTCACGAGCTTCAATGGTGAAGCACAACTCTCGCCGGGCTGCTGTCAACTGCCGGTCTCTACAATAACACGCAGGTGAGCTGGGCACGCTCAGAGGACAAACAATCAAAACACGCAACGTCCTTGAGACGTGCTGCATAGGCGGCCAAGTTGACACTACGAGATCGACGGCCACAGCTTGGGACAAGGAAATGCTTCTGCGCAGAAACCTTCTCTCACATGAGGATGGCATGAGGGAGAAGGCCCTCATCGCATAAGCCTACGTGTCACGACCTTCAATGGTGAAGCACAACTCTCGTTGGGCTGCTGTCAACTGCCGGTCTCTACAATAACACGCAGGTGAGCTGGGCACGCTCAGAGGACAAAAAATCAAAACGCGCAATGTCCCTGAAAGGTGCTGCATGGGCAAAATTGACATTACGAAATCGACGGCTACAGCTTGGGACAAGCGAGTGCGTCTGTGCAGAAGCCTTCTCTCACATGAGGCCAACATGAGGGAGAATGCCCTCATCGCATAAGCCTACATGTCACGAGCTTCAATGGTGAAGCACAACTCTCGCCGGGCTGCTGTCAACTGCCGGTCTCTACAATAAACACGCAGGTGAGCTCACACGCGCAGAGGACAAACAATCAAAACACGCAACGTTCCTGAAAGGTGCTGCATGGGCGGCCAAGTTGACATTACGAGATCGACGACCACAGCTTGGGACAGGCGAAAGCTTCTGTGCAGAAACCTTCTCTCACATCAGGGACAAGGCCCGCATCGCATGAGCCTAAATGTCGCGAGCTTCAACGTTGAAGCACAACTCTATTCCGGCTGCTGTCAACTGCCGGTTGTTACAATGAACACGCAGGTGAGTTGCGCACACTCACAGCACAAACGGCCAAAAACGCGAAAGGTGCTGCATAGGCGGCCAAGTTGACATCACGAGATCGACGGCCACAGCTTGGGACGAGCGAGTGCTTCTGTGCAGAAACCTTCTCTCACATCAGGGAGAAGGCCCTCATCGCATGAGCCTACATGTCGCGAGCTTCAACGGTGAAGCACAACTCTCGTTGGGCTGCTGTCAACTGCCGGTCTCTACAATTATGAATTATGAACACGCAGGTGAGCTGCGCACACTCACAGCACAAACGGCCAAAAACTCGAAAGGTGCTGCATAGGCGGCCAAGTTGACATCACGAGATCGACGGCCACAGCTTGGGACAAGCGAGTGCTTCTGTGCAGGAACCTTCTCTCACATAAGGGAGAAGGCCCTCATTGCATGAGCTGACGTGTAAAGCATTGGACGTCCAGGTCTATTATAACGCTTCGCCATCGCCTGAAACCGCTATCGTTGCTGCTGGAGGCGGCCTCGGCTCGCCTCCAGCACAGGACAGGTCAGCTCTGCGCAGTGAAAAGCCACACTCCTTCGACGGATCGGCTGCCAATGCTGCCATCAGCCAACACTCACACAGATCTCGCCCGTGATAATGCCTGGAGCTGCTCCGACACCCTGGTGTAGGGATTCTTGAGACTTCAACGCCCAACCACGTTGCATTGTGGTACTGGGCAAACCACAACTGTCACAAAGGAACGCTCACTTGTACAAAGGAATGCTCATATGCAGCCCAGCTTGAAGCCTCGCTCGCAAGCCTACCAGCTTCCTGTACGCAGGTCATCGCAAGGAACTCAGGGACTTAGGGAAACTCTGCTTGAAGAAGCGACACCAACACTGCAGGCACCGGTCAGCAAAAGGCTATGCTTCGAGTTACGGCCTAAAGCCTCGCAGCATGTGAGGCGAGAACGCATGTTGAACACCGTGTCGTAACTGATCAGTGACGGCAAGAAGGCTGGACCAGATTGCCCAGAGTATTCAGAGACGTCACCACCTAGTAGATGGGAAAGCCATTCCTAACAGCTCTCCAGTCAAAGGATGCCCAGGGTGTATTAGACTCAATCAAGGAGCCTCCGCGGCTACAGACTACGTCGTGGCAGTGCATGCAGCAGCCACTCGACGTGCCTTCGTGATGCCTGATGTGCCTGGGCAGCAACTACAAGCTGCAACAGCCACTGTGCTCGTGGGTCTCGGGCTTCAGACCAGGCAACCATGAAAATTGGGAACCTCGGACGAAGTGCTCCCGGCTGTTCCTGCAGGTCTAGATCCGTCCCGTGGCATCGTCTCGTACCCGGATATCATTTGCCCGGAAAATGCCAGGAGGCGCGGCACATCTCGAGGCCGCCGATAGCATCTACGGAGAGAATACATGCGGCACAGGCAGCCAGAAGCCCCTCAAGGCTTCAGTGGCTCCCCAGCACAGACAGCAGATGGCAAAGTAGTCAAAGAAAACACCTCGGCTCGGGCACTAGCAAATGTAGGGCTGGAAGGCTGGCACAGCTTGACTGGGGCACCGAAGTCGCAGCTTGCTGTGCAGAGGTTCTTTTGGAACGAACTGGCACTGGGTAGCAACACCACACAAGCAGCTGGCGGCTGGCTGCGATGCGACGATTGGTCCGTCCTCTGCGGGCAGAATGAGCTTGAAGCCGGGAGCTCCTAGAAGCTCCGTGAATGCGACAAAGAGTGTGCGACATGCCAAGTTGTAGGACTCAGGGGTACTGGGGTGCATCGCATGGGACGTGCGAGGTGCTGCGCCGCCACTGGGTGGGAAGACCAGGACTCTCTCCCTCGCTACGATCATGGCCACATCAACTTGCTCTCTGTTGGGGTAGCGGCTGCCTTGGACGGATCACTGCACGGGAGCTGCAATGCAATGACCTGCCGCATAGGCGGCCTAGGCGGTTTTTCAGCGCTTGGGCCCCAAACAAGCACGACAAGCCAACAAGGAGGCACACCGAGCCTTTGCGATGCCAGCAGAGCTTGCACGGCATCGCGACGGTATGCCACCGGGCACATACAGACCATGAAGGGTCAAGCGGGCAGAGGGTGACACCCGCACCACCCGCACCCGCCACGGATTCGCTAGGCACCAGAGTGACAAGTCTGCGTGTCCAGTTCGATGGAAACCCAGACTGGCTAAGCCCAGCACCATGCCTTTGCAAACTGTATCCAACGCATCAGGAAGTATCACACTGGCAACTCTTGCCTGCTAGAACGGATTCGCCTGTGTGAGGTGAGGGCAGAGTTTGCAGTTGAAGGCCTGTGGATGCCAAATGGCAGGTTACCCTTGCATGCGCCCGTGATTCTGGCAGCCCGCAAGAATTTGGCGGCTGTGGGGTAGACAGCCAATCGCCACTCTCCGTCCAAACAAAGCATGTAGCTTCTTGCGAGCAGAACTCAGTTCAGTTCCGGTAGCATCGGCATGGGCAACGAAAAACAGAACACACCGGATGCCGGGACGTCTGTGACTTTACCGGTACCCGGGACTTACAACTACGCCACGCTACGCCGGCTCCACGGCTGTCATCGACAGGTCTTCGAGAAGCAGCTCTATTGGTCCATGCAGAAACCTCGAATTTGGCCATATTGGATTGCTGCTTCCCAAAGACTATTTGTCCTTAGCTGGCCAAGCTATTCCAAGCTTTGCCATTAAGCAATCCCTCCTGTCTCTCGAATGCTTTCCAAGCTGCGATTAGGCAATCGTGCGCTCAAAGACTGTCTGGGCGCGTGAGGTCCGCACCGTATCGAATCCAAACATCTACGGTCAGTTTGACATAGCAAGGTGGAGGTCATCTGGCATGGCCTTAGTGGCGACGTATATATCGCAACGGCAGAAAGAGCACCAACTCGGAATCAACAAAAGACCTACTTCGCCTCGGCTGCTGCTTCCCATTGCGGCGGGCCGCGGCGGGCGACGCGAAACATTTACAACTCGTCAGGAAGTTGAGCGGAGCTACAAACTCAAATGAGCGTGACCTGCAGTCTAGGACCGATGATGAGAGTGAGGTTCCAACGGCTATCACTCGCAGGTACTTCTGATGCTACAAACGCTGGAATTATACGCTCTCTATCAGTTGCAAGAACGCACATATCCGCCGACTCCGGCTGTGGCAGAAAGGACCAGTGGGGTAATAGCTTGTGTTTACGTAACTTTACGCATATACGCTTTTGGGCGCCACGAGGTAACCTGTAGGCGCCTGCCTGTCTGCCTGTCTGCCTGTCTGCCTGCGTGACTCATAGACATAGCTTTACAGACTTGGACATAGACATGGACATAAGACATGCATGGACTGGCAGGCAGGCAGGAGTGTTTGTGAGTCTGGAGAACGCATACTCGTGAAGAGACCACGTAATGGTTATACAGGGCTGCACCTGGCAAAGTTTGTGTGTGATATACGGCAGTACTGACACATATGCGAACTAAAAGGACCATATGACAATCAACGCTTGGCCCTGCAGAGCGATTTCAGTACTTCAAAAAGCGTCACAGGATGCCAAGTTATGCAACGTTCCTTAGCTGGCTTCTTCGAGTCGTTTCTTCCTTGGGTTCTTCGAGTCCTTCCTTCTTGGCAATTTCCAGAAAGTTAAAACACCAACCAGAAGAAGACCCCGAAATGAGAAGCGCAGTTGGTCCCAAACAACCTGCGAGCCGAGCCGCGTCAACCTCCAGCTGCACAGCTCCGTCGCTCAGGAGGTACGTCGATGCTGAAAGCCGGCACCTGCGCAAGCTGCAGGCTTCTTCCCATACAGTTCTCCATGTAGCCATACGCAAAAGGGGTTGATGAGATGAAATCCATGTCCGCTCCTGGACCACACCACGCTCGCCACCACGGGCAGCCAGGTGGGCACCATGGGCAGCAGCGACACACAGGGCGCGCGTGGCATCACCCGGAAGCCCATGGGCGGCACGAAGCCTTGGGCGCACGGCGCGAAGCCAAAGCGCAAAAAAAAAAAACAAATTTTGAAGAACACGCAAAAGGCGGAAGGCGTCCTGAGGTCCTGGCACTGAGGAACTACCATCGGTCAACGCCCACAAAAAATTGAAGCCCTACCCTTGAACCAGAATCCTCGAAACTATCTGGGCTCTGCTTTCTGTCTTCAAGGACTGGTTGACCATTGTTGGTTCTTGCATGAAGCAAAACTGCGAAGTATGCAGTCGACACTTTTATTCCCTGCCCACTTTCCGCCCCCCGGCTCCCCGTTGTGCTCGCCTAGATCCGTGTAAAGGACGATGCCCGAAACTCATCCGGCAGGCCGAATGCTTCACCCGCAATAGCATGCTCCTGCTCAAGCCGATCTGCCCTTTTCACGCGGTCTTACCGTGCTGGCATACAATGGCGCTTCGGATGCTACTTTTTCGCCTCTAGCTCAAGGGCCCTTCGGGAGGTTACAGCAACGGAAGCACATATATACAAACTTTACACGAATACGTCGCCTAGAACTGCACATGAAAAAGGCACGCACTCAAGCTGCACATGCAAGACTCGAGGTGATATTCACACCCGTCTTACTTATTGATGCGTGCCTGGGGCTCATGACTTTCGCACGGTTGTGGGAGTATTCCCTTCGTTGAGTCTGTGCATGCGAAGGCATTCTACCAAATTGCAACTCCTGATAACTACTAGATCACTATTCCATGGATTCACCTGTACAACATGCTTTGCGGATCACGGCTGTTGCATGGCATACACCTCGTCCTTCGTCAACTGGCGGTTTGTCTCCGATAGATAGCTGAACCGACGCGGTCGCTGATGAACATGCCCGCTGCAAACCTGGCCGGTGCTTAATTAAGCAGATGCTTTATATGCTTTCTCATTCTGGTCATTCTTAGGGATTTGGGTCAGTTCAGGACAGTTCTACACCACGCAACACCAAAAGGCTACGAGGCTACAGCAAAGCTACAAAGCGGAAGCAAAAGTCGACAGTGGCTTCACTCGCACTTCTCTCCTTTTCTTTCGGCTTGCCGGAAACTCGACTGCTCTGTCTTTGAAAGCATCCGGGGTCTTCGACCTTCCGGATCGAAAGCTAAAGCAGTGGAGCAGTCGAAAAGCCCGTATCGTTCAACTGAACAGAAGGAAGCAAAAGCAAAGTGGAATGTAAGAGCCAGCGGAAAAGCGAAAAGCTGGACATTACGCATTAGCAGGCTATGACTGAAAAGCTCCCTGTGCTGAAAGGCTGCCCAAAAGGTGTGGGCGGGTGGGAAAGTTTTTACAAAGCTAGCAGCTGTTGCGTGGTGTATGCTTGAACCCAAGCGGGGCCGCGGGGTAGGAACTGCCGAAACAACCCTGAGTAAACACAGGAACCGTTCAGGACAGTTCTACACCACGCAACACCAAAAGGCTACGAGGCTACAGCAAAGCTACAAAGCGGAAGCAAAAGTCGACAGTGGCTTCACTCGCACTTCTCTCCTTTTCTTTCGGCTTGCCGGAAACTCGACTGCTCTGTCGTTGAAAGCATCCGGGGTCTTCGACCTTCCGGATCGAAAGCTAAAGCAGTGGAGCAGTCGAAAAGCCCAAGCAAGAAACTGGCAAGCCGAAACCTCGCAAGACGCTGTAGACAGCCAAGTGGAGAAGTGAGGTGAGGAAGCCTAAAAGTGGTGCTACTTCCGCTTGTTAGAGCCTCTGTTACTTGGGCCCAAGCTGTGTTGCGCAGGAAGCTGCCACTTTAAAAATGTTGTTGGAGGGCAAAGTGTCACCTGAAAGCTCACATGCCAGAACTTAGAAAGCGAGAGCTCAATGTGGTTGGCCGTGCTGAACTGCTCGGGCAGGTCGGCGGAGCCGTCCCAGCGTGAGAGCCAATCTGCATCCTCATTCTTCTCGCCAGAGATATGGCTGCAGTCCAGAGTGACTCCGGTAATCGAGCTCCACATAGAAAGCTTGCGAACGAAAAGGTTAAGTGGTACTTTAGAGGTGTAAAGCTTGTTACACAGTGACTCAGCACCACTATTATCGCTCAAAGCAGGTAATGTCAGAGCCAAGCGACCAGAGCCATGAGCCTTCCAAAAAGCGAGAAGCACAAAGCATTGTGCTAGGGTCTCGTAGCTGGAAATATCCAAGTTGGCATCGGGCTGCATTGGCAGACCTAAGTTGGTGAAGTCACTAACCGTGTAGCGGTGCGAGAACCAAAGCAGGCGTCCAGATGGCAAGCGAAGCCAACCGCCGACCCCGCAGTCGTTGCCCTTGCCAAAAGCGTCTGCAGCGGAGTCCACTGGCCTTGTAGGCGGTGGCCGCAATGGTTTCGGTCGCCATTCCCTGGAACTCAAGTGCGCAAAGAAAGCAAGGGTTTCTCTGCTGGACTCAGACAAGCGCCGTTTGGAAGACGTAGGGTCTGCGACACGAAGCCACATACGCTTTGTACTTACAGGAACTGCGGCCAGGTCATCCTTGCTGCGTAAAGCCTTGTGCCGAGCGGACAGCAAAGTGGAACCTGTCGAGATGCTGGTGCCCGGTGGGCATCCTGTGAAGCGAAGCTTGTCGTCCAAGTAGGTGTGGATGCCTGGCCAGGTGCAAGGGCTGGTGCTAACATTGGTGCCAAGCGGTCTATGCATGTCATCGTACAATGTACAAAGCCACGGGCGTAAAGCTGGCAGCCCATGCAATATCCACTGAAGCAAACCCAAAAGTTTGTCCAGCTGTTTGCGGCTCACCAAGCGATGCCGTAGGCATTCTTCCACCTGGGAAAGCAGCTTCAAGCGTTTGGCGTCAGGTAGCGTGTAACAGCCAGCGTGGAAGTCTATCTGCCAACCTATCCAAGTTATGGATGGCCCCATCTGCAGTTTCCCCCAGCTAAGCGGGATGTTGAAGCAGGAGCAGAAAGCCAGGACCAGAGAAGCGCTAAGTGGCAAGAGGCGGGAGTTTTGCCAAAGAAGCAGATCATCTACGTACAACATGAGCACGTGTGACAGCCAAATAAGTAGACGCAGGCAGCGCACAAAGAAGCCTCCCAAGCGGGCAAACCAGTGGCTTGAAAAAGTGGCCCCGAATGGACACACGCGGTAAAAGAAGAGGCGTTCTTGCTGCCTAAGTCCAAGCAGGCCCCTATCTTGCTCCCGCACAAGTGAAGCAGTACGGTTGACCCTCCTTCACCGTGAAGTCCCAGTCCTGGGAAGGGGAGTGTGCGTCCGAGAAGCGCTTGAAAGAGGACCGCAACCAGTTCGTCTCATCCTGGGAAAAGAGGGGGGTGTTGCAGGCGTTGGCGACATGATGCTGGAGCCGAAGCGGAATCTGCTTCTCGAGCAGCCATTGCTGCCACTCCTTGCGCAGGTCGCGCAAGCTATCTGACTGATACCTGGGGCCCAAAGACCAGTCTGGAAGCGAGTAGATGCCGCCGCCATCCTGTGCCGCGGTTGGTGGCAGGGACCTTGCTTTCTTAGGGATGGAAGCCAACAGAGCATGCCGGGATGTTGACAAGGGTCGCTTGTATCTCTGAAAGCATGTCTTGTACAAAAGGTTCCAGCCATGACATGGCGTTGGTGGGCTGCTCCAGAGATACGTGTGCTCCTGACGAAAATGCGGCTCGCAGAAGACTGACACAGCGGTAGAGAAGCTTCTGACTGCTTTGTACCCTTGCTTGTTGGGCAGCGGTGTTCCCCGGGAGCCCATTCATGTGCTGGGGGGAACCGATGGCTGGAAGCAGTTTCAGGCGGGAGTACTCCTTACAGGGAGGGGATCCGTGGGCCAAGCGGATTATTCCTGAAAAGCAGAGCCGTAGGAGATGGTCGTAGGTGTCATCGTGCAGTATGTCCAGCTGCTCCTGGCCAAGCAGGTCAATCGGAAGACAAGTGACCCCCGTCACGACAATGCCCTCGTCAGCGGGCAAGAGGCACCGCAGCATAGGTCCAGGAAAAGCTCCACGTTCGTAGGGTCCTGAAGCGGCCGGGGCTCCACCTGAACAGTTACAGAAGTGGATTCCGTAAGAGGGAATCCTAGGGACCGCAGGTGCGCCAGAAGCTTGGAGTCGAAAGCGCGCAGCTCCTTGCATGTGTATTGTTAGCACCCAGCGGTCCCCCTGCCAGGGCATCGTGCAATGTAGAGATTCGCACGGGAAAGAAAGCGGATGTTTCCAACAGTTCACCTGTAGTGGAGCTGGTAGCACTGTGAGTCTGTGACGAGGCATCTGCTGGGGCTGGTACCAGCGAAGCGTCCTTGCTCAAAGCTGGGCAGAGCCAAACCTCTCCGCCACTGAAATTGCCAAGTGAAACTGTATGGTTAAGTGTACCTGTAGCGTTCCCCGCATCCGTGTGTAGGCGTGTACGAACGTTGTGAGTGGCTGATGCAGAGGGAGCTCCACGTAGCTCCGGGGAACTGAAGCTGCATACAGGCATTGAGAAATCGAAGAACGTCGGAAAATTGTTCTGTGCGCTGAAAGATCCCAGACCGAGCGCCATTGTCAAAAGCGAAAGCACCCAGATTGAAGTAGGCCTCTGAAGATTCAATAGCAGGGTCCAAGCTTGGGGCCGAAGAATCGAAGGGCTTGGAAAAGTACTGTGCCAGCAGTTCCAAACAAGTGGCAAAGTCGAGAGAGCCCTCACTAAGTGCAGTAGCTGCACCGGAAACAGCCGCGCCTGCCTTGGCTTGGGCAGCGACATGGTGGCACCTGCGGAGCCTGACGGCTGGGCTGGCACACTAAGCGGGACGGCCGTGACCTCTTCAGCGATGTCCCGGAGTCCCGCTGGTCGCTGAAGCGGGTGTCCTAGTGCGGGGTGGCAACATGCTGAGAAGCTGGGTGGCTGCCCCCACAAGCGGTGCCGTCGCTCTTGGGCACCGCACACCTGTGCAAGTAGCGGCATGTTGAAGGGTCCTTGCACTGTCCACTCTGGTACCGCATGCAAAGGGTTTGGCGCTTGCCCTCCACAAAGATGGTTGAAAGCCATTTGCCGGGGGGTGTGGCCTGCTTGTTGTCCTTGCCTTTGCCTCCTTCGTGCCCGCGCTCAAAGCGTTCGCCCTTTTCACCTTTGCCGTCACGGCCTTTGCCCCCGCGACCCCCGCCTTTTCCGCCACGGCCATTGCCCGTAAAGCGGGACTTCCAGCTGTTGTCGAGGTCGAACTTGGGCTTGGGGATGAAGGGCCTGGGTGCGAACAAGCTGTGTAAATCCGATCGCACCTCGGCGACTTCGTGAAGCGCATCATCCAGCTTCCAATGGTGCACATTAACAAGATCCGCAATGATTTCCCAACAGCGGCGATCGGCCGCCTGAGCCTCCATCGTAGTGGGTCCTCGTAAGCTGGCAGCGGCCTCGTATTTGGTGAAGCAGATCCTCATGAAGCGTTTATTGTAAAGCTTCAGAGAACCCAAGTGTGCACCTTGGCAAAGCGCGATGGCGTTGGCCGCCAGTGATAAAAGCTGGGTGACAAGGCCAAAAGAAGCGGGGCCTTCATGTATATCCCGGGTGGGCGCCTCGTCGAGGAAGAGCTTTGTCAGGTCAAAGCGGGCCTGTTTTCTCGGACGGACCAAGAGACTGTCTTCCTGTGCCCTGGCGCTTAAGCGGTACTTCCAGGGTATCCATCGCACCTCCTTGTCTGAAAGCATCTTATTTGTAAGGGCGAGTAAGCGGGCGCTTGGAAAGCTCTCTGCATCGAGAAGTTCAGTGGGGTAATCCTCCTCGAACCTTTTCCTAAGCGTCGCCGTCCTTTCGCCGCTGAGTTTTGCGGGCCAAGCCTCCTGCCAGGAGCTCGAAAGCGGGGGGTTGGCAGGAGGTGCCGGGGTTGCTGCTGATGGCCCTTCCCCAAGCGGGGGTGCTGGAGCTTAATGCGGCTTCAAGGGATGCCATGCCCTCTGACTGACGACACTTGTTGAAGAGTAAGCGCAAGGAGGCTTTGGTGATGAAGCGCTCGGCAGCCTCCGTCACTGAGGCTTCGGCCAGAAAGTGGTTCACCAACTCTTCAAGCTCTGTCAGCGTGGTCGACATGGCCTACGACCAAGGAGATGTGCATCTGAGCAGAAATTTGACAGGTCAGCGAACGGAGCATGCGTGAGGACGTGCGTCCTTTACAGACAATTGACAAAGCGACGTTAAGCTGTCAACAAGGTGAATGACTCGCTTTCCCAAGGGAGCGCGGCAGAGCGTCGATGCCATCTGGTGGACTTGGAAGCAAGTGTATCAGAAACGGTGGAAATTTACGCACCACATCAACGCCCAGGAGATGCGCGCATTGCTTCTTTCGTTGCAGTGGCGCGCGACCAGGCCGGGACATTTCCGTCCCATCGGCGCATGACTGCTTTGACGGGCACAATGTCCTGGAGCCAAGCCGAGCACGTTGAGCAACTCTTGCGTTCCCAGCTCGGGTCGAAAGGCGCGGCACAAATGGCCAGCCACCCAGCCGAAGGACAACAAGCTGAAGCTATCTCCTACGAGGTTCAGTCTTTCATCTTCGAGGGCTCGAGGTGATTTCTTAGCTTCAGAAGCAGGCAGGCAGAAGGCAGTGCGCCTGGCGCCATACCCCATCAGGATCTCCCTTTCACTCGCATCCGGGTAGCGAAGGCGTTCTCCGTTCGTCAGCAAAAATTGTTCTTTGTACTGGTATGGCGGAAACCGATAGCTATCGTTTGCCCACCTGCATGAGCAGAGCATCGTCGGGGGTTCTATGAAAACCAGCAGGAACCGGAGGGGGCTCAGAGCGCGGAATTGACTTCATGAAAGTTGGCAGTTTAGAGGAAGGCTCCACGCGGTGCCATCCAGGCCGAACCCATTCAGATCCAGCAGGAATGGAACCAGTCATGCTAACTTCAACAAAGCCCTTTCTTTTGATGAAAGTGACGCCGTCCGTTTCTTGAGGCCACTCAGAGATCCATGCGAAGCGTGGCCTGCTGTAACACAGAACGTGCGCAGGGTCCAGTTTCAATGGGGTGACGCCAAGCCAGTTGCTGATTTCATCACGAACATTCACATCCATGGAGGAAACGTTCTCAATCACCCACTTCACCTTGGCAATTCCTTTGAAAGCATCCAGTATCAACCCAATGATCTCGTACAGCTTGAAGAACAGCTTTGAGCCCTCGCCAGCAAGATTCTGGCGCCCATGGCGTGCTGAGGACAAATGCACACAAGGGAAACCCCCCCAAACGTGCACTTCAGCAACTCCAGGAAAACGGCCGAGCCAATCTCTGATGAGAGCGCCCAGTACATCAACCTCCTCGAGGTGGGCGCGGGCCTGGTGAGTGCAGTCATTATCTGTGCTCACTGGGTGCGAATGGTGCTGACTGTGATAGGCCTGTGTGTGAGCAGTGCCGAAAAACATACAAGACCCGACAAAGATCAAAATAGGAGCCGTGAAGGCCATGACGACAAAATCACTATGAAGAGCCAGAGAGGCCATCCTGTGTTCCCGAGCCCCAGAAGCCGAGGGCGGCACCCGTTCCCTTGCACCCTTTGCTTCTGCTGCTCGCTTTTGCTTTGCTGCTCTGCTCTGCCGAGCGCTTCTGCTTTTCCGCTTGATGCATCGCCGTGGGATGATTCGGCGAGCCTACACACCGGCCCTTCGGGCCCCCAATTCAGTGCACCCCCTTGTGCTCTGCCATGGCAGTGCCAACGACCCAGCCCTGCTGCACGCTACTCGCAGCCTGAGGCGAATACCTCCAGTTTAGATGCTTGGCAGTGGTGTGTCATAGGATGGTCTTTTCTGTGCCGTACACTGTTTTATGTCATCTTGCAAACAGCGGCGCGGGGATACCCACACCAACTTCTTCATGACCAGCCCTTTTTGCAGTTGGGGTGGCTTTTGTTTTTGGGGCTTGCGGGGGTCGACGTGGGACTGGACCCATAGAGCCTTGGAAGCCCGTGCACGACGACGTTGGACGGCGCGAGTCCACAGAACCAAGGCCAAGCAGCGTGCCTTGGCCTTAAAGCTTCGCAGAAGGCGGGACAATACCCGAGCCATCCGAATCGTCGCAGCTAGAATGTGCGGAGCAAGACGATGCAAACTTGTTCGGGGATTCTCGCTTGTTGACGCGAGACGACGGCGATGCCACCCAGGACCGTGTCTCGTTAAACTTCAGTGGCCCACCGAGCAGCGCTGTGAGAGCAGTCGTGACCTGCCGGGCGGGTACTGGAGTAACCTTGCTGCTAGTGCTGCTTCTCTTGCAGGTGGCTCTAACCAAGCCACTCGTCAACGAAGAAAAGCCAAACAACAGCTGTTGACCCTGTTGCAGGAGCTCTCATAGGCGAAACCCCGACGACGCAAGCCCGTGGCCTCCGCCAGGACACCGAAACCTCAGCAGGCGGACAACGGCCGTTCTTTGGCCAAAGCCCTGTTGGGGGGCCTCAAGGAGTGCTTGAACCGAGGCGACGACATCCTTCACGTCCTTGCGGAAGCTTTCGCTCATGCTTCTTCTTTAAGGACGTGCAGCGAGGGCCTCAGTCACTTGAGCGCGATACGCCGACCAGCGGCGACTGCCAGGTTTGGAAGCCATTGCATGCCAAACAGGACACGGGCTGGGAAGACTGGGCTAACGAAGCATGGACCTGGCCCGAAGCCCCCCGAACTGTGCAAACACAGGAGTGGAAGTGGGGTACCCCCGCTAAAGACAGGACAGAATGCCGCTTACACCATCGAGCAACTGCCGTCAGACCGCAGGACTGGAGCTCGGAAGTTCCTCCTCAACTCGTGTCGCTAGGCAGACTGGCTTATGATCTCAAAAGTGCCCTAAGCCCTTCGGGTAACTTGGTTGAGATATGGACGCAACACGACCTCACGCGAGTTCAGGCTTTGTGGGAAGCCTACGGTAGCCCAGCACCTTGCACGGTTTTGTTGGTGGGAGACATGATTGAGCATAAACAAGCCCAAAAGATTCAGGTTTCCATCACGAGAGGGGCATGGGGACCCCAGATTGAGCAAGCAGCCATTCTGGTGATCAGTGATCAGAAAGGACCGGGGCTGGCCAAGGTTACTAAGGTGCTCAAAGCAGCGGTGCCTGCTACCCCAGCTCCGAAGGTCCCGATCCGCGTCTCCGCTCCAGATTGCTATCGCAGCGTCTACGCGGTGGAAGCGGAGGGTCGAGACACGCCGTCTCGTATCCTCCAGTCTCTGGCTGGAACTGCCGAGGTTCGAGTTGGGGATATGTTGGGAGGAAATTGGTCCTCTCGTAGCAGTGGGGCTGTGACTTCCTTAGTTGGACACCTTAGAGTCAAGCCGGACATAGCGACCAAGCTTTTGGCTGCGAGTGGCAAGCAAGGACTCTTCATGTCGAAAGTCTCGCCCAAGACTCCTGCCTGTAACCCTTCCAACCCGTACTGGGTGCGTAGAGAGAAGGAAGAACCCACCTGGACCACCGTCCGTAGCAGTTATTATTGCTCGAAGGCTTTTCGATACACTTTCTCCCATAATTCAACTTCAAGCCAGAAGCTCGAGCAATTTATGTTTACTTCTTGCGCTTTTGGGTATTCGCCAAATAGGATCGTGCGCTTTTCGGTTTATACAATCACATATACTATGTTTTTAGTTAGGGGGGCAGTGTTTTAGGGGTAGGGGCTATGTTGTGGGTTAGGGATTCAGGGTTCAGGGGTTTATGGTTTTAGGGGTTTAGGGCTTTAGGGGTTTATATATGGTTTAGGAATTAAGCTTCGAGCGATCCACAGAGCCGTTGGAGCTCGCTTTGGCAAGTCCGGGGGCCTTTTGCTCTGACGGATGGTGTGCGCCCCCCCCGATCGTGCATGTATGTTTGTGTATGCATGCTGTAGACCAGGACCACGAAGTCGTCGGAAGTAGTCAAGTAGTCAATATTCCTCGTCTTGGGGTTCCAGGTACGGATCGAGATGGCTGATGGCCAATTTCACGAAAGCGGTCTCTCCGGCTTGATTGCTGTTTGCTCCGAAAGAGTTCTTGGTTGGTGCGGCACACACTATACTCGTTTGTTCATGCAGTTGCTGGGCTCAGCCGCACGCTTAACGAACTTACGGGAATTTATGTGCTAGGAAAGACGATCCAGGTATCATATCGACTGCATAGCATAGTTCTATATAGATTCTAGATGCAGGCACTCTGGGTATTTCAATGACAACTTCAGCATGGACTTTCACTTTCGGCCACATTGTAAACTCGTCGGTACTTTGTGTGCAAGCTCGTGTTGTCGTCATGGCCTCTGATGCTCCCGGTTCTGTCGGCCTGGAGCCAATCTCAATTCGTGCTTCAGCGATTGCTGAAGAAGGAGCTGCTGGTCATATCCAGTGGCAAACTCACGAGGTAAACATGCACAGATAACCGGGAACTTCTTGTGCCGTTGATAAACCTCGTGGGTGGCCTGACTGCATCTGGTTGTATAATGGATGCTCCTAGGTATTCTGTGCAGGGTAGATCGACGAAACTTGATAGCTGAAACTTAAGGCCTCCGACCGTCTGTAGATTTGGTCGCGAAGTACTTATTCAAGCTCTATGCGAATTGTCGTCCTGGACATTTGCCGCCGCCCAGCAGCGACTCGACTCACTAAAGATCGAAGTCGTGTGCACTGGATGCATAATCTCAAAAACCAGAGCTTGATCCCATCAGGTACCACGCTCAAGACCCAGGCATGGATGCTGCGAAGATTGATATGC